AGTGCTAAGCTTTCGTCCGTCATGTGACGGACATCATCAGAGCAAGGTAACATCTTCACAACAAAATTCAAGTTGACGAGTCAAGAAAACTTACTGAAAAATCCCCAAAAAGTGGTACATATACTCTCTGAGAAGGTATTAAGTGATTTGGTTAGTTACGTTAGTATGTCAACTTCGAAGCTTGTGGTTGTGTTTGCACCTACATAGACAGACACACTGATGGGCTTCGAAGTTGACATACAACCGTAACTAACCGAATCACTGTATACCTTCTCAAAGAGTATATGTACCACGTTTATGGATTTGCCGGTGAGTTTTCTTGACTCGTTAGCTTCAATTTGGCTGTGACGATGATGATGTTCGTCACATGACGGACCAAAACTTAGTACCTTTTCTCCGGAATCGAAGATGGTCACTTTGGAAACATCGTCAGCAGAAATGTTCCAGAAAAGCCAATCGACAGCTGGTCAAGAGGAATCCGCCGTCGTCTTCTGGTGGAACCGATCTTCGAATCTCCTCACCGCACACCTACACTCGAAATGAAAGTGAGCTCAACAAGATTGAGACTGGTTGAAGAAGCCAGGGTTTCGCGGCGTGTCTGTGTTCTCATGGCAACTTTGATGCATGATTCTGGACGAGCGTCCTTTCTTCATTTGCACGTCGAACTGTGGACATGGTACCGTTTAAGAGGTCGGAACAACACGAATTCCGTCCAAAACGGTAGAAAGTTGGTCGAGACGAGGACTGAATCAAAGTATGTCGGTGTAGCATAACGAGACTGAAACTTCGGAATGTGTGAAGCCAAGTCAACGCTTAACTGTTGGCCGATAAACTAAGACAAGACCTACCAGCGAAGTCATACCTGTTCTATGAGCCGGTGGTTGCTAAGCTGCTCGGTGGCACCATGACGATGTTAAAGCAACGAGGTCCAACTCTCAAGATGCCTGTTGCCGGAACCGAAAAGGAATTTCTCGAGGATGACGTCAGTCTGAGGTCGCCAGCAAATCCGTCAAAACGATTGAGACTTTGCCGCTTCAAGTTTAATGCTATTCATTCGATTCCGGCTTCCCAGCATCTGATAATGTGGCAATTCCACTTCTCGACGTTGCAATCTGACATTCAGCTGACTTTGGCAAATGACTCGGTACGAGATGGCGAATGTCATCCGCAAAATGAGACTGCAACTTCTGCTTGAAGAAATGGCATTTCCACATGATTTCGAAGTGTGCAGAAACTGGCAGAAGCATGTCTGCAATAAGGTCGTTTCATACTCATCATGTTCATCATCATCATCATCATCAGCGTCACATTAGCAACCACAGCTCCAAAACTCTTGCCACCACCATCATCATCATCATCATCATCGGCATCGCCAAGATGTCCACGTTTCTGATCTGACTCGTGGCTGGAAAAAATCCACCTTCAGAAGGCTCTTGTTGACCGTCCAGCGAAGGTTTACGTCCTGACTGCCCTCAAAGCTGACTCAATCGCACCGCAAAACAAACAGTAAAATGTCATCATTTGCATCACCATCATCATCAGCAGCAGCAGCCTTACCAACATCATCATTAACGACGCTAACGACCTCAAGACATCCACCAACACCGCCCCCTCGATTAGTATCAGTATCAGCATCATCCTCGTCCTTCAACTCACGGAAGAATTAAATTCACTTTAATTCGTGCAAGTACACACAAGCGGCCTCGTCTGGAAAATCGGGTATCCTTGGAGTCTACTTGTCGAGCTGTCTCTTCATCGGAACCAATCGCCAACTCACGGAAAACTAAAGTTCCTTACTGGCCGGTGGTACCATTTTCAGGGAGGTGCAAGCTTTGCGTTGCTTAGCACTTCTTTTAAGACATGCATAGTTCTGAATACGGGTCGGTTTACTTTTCAGCATCGTCATTAAGCAATTCAGGGTCAAGATGACCTCGAGTCGTGAACAATATCACCACTCATGACCAACTGCCGAATCCTCATCATCATCATCATCATCATCACTTTCATTCGTGACGGTCCCGAACGGTCAGTCTTCGCGAGTGAGCAAAATGGACCATTAATCACCTTTTCCGATCCGCCCTGGAGCTTGAACTGGAGCCTATTCCTGAAATGGTCGCTTGTCAGACTGTCCGTCGGCTTCTAAGCAGAATTGGCGAGAGTAGGGCATGAGTTCGAGCTTGAAACTGACCAAACTAGGCTACAGATGACATCCCCATTGGCTTAACAACTGACAATGCAAATTGATGGAACTGGATTAAACTGGATTTTTTTTTCTTTCTGTAGATGGCTTGACAGGAGAGAATCTCAACTTGTCCACTTAAGGCTGGTTGCCATTATTCCTTTTTAGGAAAACAGTTTTTCAAAAGTCACCTTGACAGAGTTCGCAGACTCCTTTTACTCCATGATCCTGGGCTTTCTGTTAGTTTAAACAAATCAGATTTAGAGACATCACACGTCGTTCTTTGCTTGCCACACCTAAATGCAAAGATGCGTCATGTTAGAGCACTACTTTTGCATAAACTACTTTTCAATAAACGATTTCGCTATATGTCTAGTTTTCACTTTATTTCTTGTCCTGTTTGCGCGAAGCCGCGAGTCTGTGTGTGTGTGTGTGTGTGTGTTGGGGGGAGGGGGGCAAATCGCCTAAGATTATTCACTGACTGGCAATTGAAATGAATGGAAAGTGAATTTGGAATCTTGCTCCTTTCCAAAAGGTCTGACTCATGCTCTCATTTACGATCTCCACGTAGATTCGATACCTATGTGTTTTTTGTGTGTATGCTTATGTGCGTGTATATATCTGTATGTGTATATGTATGTGTATTTGCATGAGTGTGTGTTCCGAGTGGGGTGTAGGGTATGAAGTCTTATGCAGACAGCCGAATTTCGGTTAGCAGGAGGAGGTTACTTCCGTCACAGTGTCCACTGAAATGTAGATGAATCCAACATTTGTCAGCCAAGAGATACCACAAAACCCAACGCTTCTTCGCATGTATTGACTACTCAACATCATCGCTTGTGCTTCACATGTGCGCATATACATAAATACATATATATATATATAAATATATATATATACGCACACACGCATTCACAAATGTACATCAAGACGGATGGATGGGTTGGGTTGGCTTGCTTTATGAATGTATAGAACTGGGACACACTAACCAGCCACGAACATAATCAGCTTGTGGTAGCAACAGTAAAACAGATGTGTCAATTCTAAATATTGGTCGTCCTTATTAGCCTTATTAGGCATGAAAATTGATGAGACTACTTAAATGCAATATGAGTATATGTAAAATAAGACAGACTTCATCAGAGCCGCGACGAATGTTTGTGAATTCTAACCGGCTAGTACAAAGTGTGAATATGTAATTATGGAATAAGTGCTTAGTCCTCCTAGGCCGCTTCAGGTTAGTTGAGATGAAATGATGAGGCTATTCTCGCGATGAATGGGCTGTGGCGACTGAGTCATTTTTTTAGCAATATTGCTGGTTTTTAAACATATTCATTCTTAATACTAGCCATTTAATTTTATTATCTAGTTTTCATCTCGAGCTTGTCACAAACATGCATCTCTGTTCTGATAAAGTCTGTCAAGTGGGATGAAACACGTACCGGAGTCGGAGGAGAATGTCAAGGAAACGAGCGTAGATCGAGAAGCAATCGACCTGGGAACCTCTTAGTCGCACAACTTGCCTCGAAATTAACGACAAATTACGTTTTCCCGAGTATAGAGGATACAGTGCATGTGCGACTGCTTACTTTTTCGATTCGCAACGCAACATGACAACCTCACAACATCTTGCTTCCGAAACCGGTCACACCAACGATAGGTCAGACATGTTCATCATCTTGTTTTCATTGGTTCCGAAGTAAGTTGCATGTGCTAAACCAACCCAATTGTGAGTATGCGTCCTCGCGGGGGTGTACTCATTCGGCCAAACCTCGAGCAGTTTGCGCGTCGGTAGGCAGCAGAAAGCAGAGAATCACTGTTTGCTGTCGAGAAATGTGAAAATCCACTTCGACTCCTCTCGCCGCCGCCTCTTCCCTTTCCTGCGCGCCTAGAACATGCTCCGATCGGTCGACCCGACGACAAACGGTGGAGGCGTCTCGTTCTACCAAACTCGGCGCCACTTGAAGACTAACCGGGACGAGGTATGCCCGCTCCCTTAAGCCCCACTCGAGATGTACTTGTATGCATGCGAGTTTGTCTCTCTCTCTCTCTCTCTCTCTTTAAAGCTGTGTGCATGTGTGTGTGTGTGT